CCAATGGTTAACCGGGGAATCGTAAAGTCCTCGTATGTGTTGCAGCCCAACACCCCTCCTAGTCAGCCCACAAACCCATCCAAACCCCCTCCATCCTCTCAGTCGTTCGATCACGATCGCGTGGCCGAAAACCGCACCTCATTTAGACTCTCCTAGCTCCCTCTACCTGTATATATATATGTGCCCCTCCCGAAATTTTCGCGCAGTCCAACCCTAAAATTTCTCTCTGCGCCACCGAACACGTCTGGGCGACACCGAACGAAATCGCGCCGCCGTCCGGAGCCAGTCAGCGCCCGCCATGTGGCGCGCCGGCCCGCTCGGCCCACGGCGGGCCCGAGCTCCTTTCGCGCGGCTCCGCTCGCCGCCGACCGGCCGCCGTCCTCAACGTCCACCGCCTCCAGTCGCCGCCCGACCTCCACCACCTCCCCTGCGTCGCCGTCAGCACTTCTCCGGCGAGAAGCTCGGCGAGATCCAGTCTTTCACCTCCTCTCAAACGACTCTTCGACCACCGCGACAATCTCCGGCAAGACTCCGGCGAGCCCGCGCCCTCCTCAGCTTCCGCGCGCGCCAGATCCAGATCCAATCAAACCCTAGGTTGACCCCGTTTTTCCCCAAGTCCCTAGCATTTTCAGCCCATGTTCATTGCATCATAACTCTGTGCCCGTAGCTTCGTTTTGTGCGTGTCATACATCAAAATGTTCATCATGATGTGCCCTTCATTTTGTTCCATTGTGCCATGCTTGTTTGAGTCCATCTTGATGCCCAAATAGTTGATGGAAGAGTGCTATAAAATGTTAGGTTCTGATTCTTATCAGATTATGAGCATTTGTCATTTTTACTACATTTATTGTGTGCTGCATATGGGCATGAGCTCTACATGTGTTTTGGGCTATGCCATGCCATCTTTACAGGGGCGTATGTCATGTATTTTTGTGATCAATGTGGTGACTAGCACAAGCATGCAAAGTAGCTCTCAGGATATTGCTGATTTCACGGACTTAGGATTTCACTAAGTCATTGCTCTGTTGTTATTTTTATGCCATGTATTCATGTTGCTATAATGAGATCCATGATTCTTTTGAGTATGTTCGGTAAGGATGATTTGGACATATGGTTGTGCTCTATCCATCCATGCCCCTGTTTGTAAGTATGGAGTGCTCTAGCATGTCTCAATCTTGCTCTACTTTTGCTATAAAATATTCCTGGCAGATTGTTTACGTGTTAATCAATTTTGCCAAGGTTGTTGTAGTTGATCCATGCATGTTATGAGCTTGTTCTTGCTTTGATTAGCTTCATGAACATGTCTTCTTGCCGAGGCGATGTTTATCTTGTCATGCAATGCCTTGTGATGAGTGAATCGAGCTCGCAAAGATGCCTTCATAATTCTGTTAATGCCATGCTCTGTTTTCTGCTAAGTCTGAATCTGTTAACGAAACTTGCTATATTTACATGGATACCATTATATCTTCTGATCCTTTTTGGCTTATAGTCAGTAAGGGACTTTTGTTCTATGCTTTGAGTAGATTCATGCCATGCCTTTGTTTGCTATGATCTGTTCATGTAGTATATTGTTATCTTGTTGTGAACATTGCTTACTGATGTTAATTCCTGACATGTTGTTATTTTCACTAAGTCTGTGAAGCTGATATCTTTTGCCATGCTTGTTTGAACCTGCTCTTGTGTGATTTAGCCATAGCTCAGTGTTCATCTTTTGTCAAGCATCTTGAGTAGATCACTGTCATGTGCTTTGTTGCTATGTTAGAGTGTAGTAGCTTAATTTCTTGTTGCATTTTAGATGACATTGTGTTGTTAATCGTAGATTTGTACCATTATTATTTTGCTTGTCCTTTGCAAACCGTGCATCCGATTCCGGTGATCTTTATATCGACTTCGACCGAAATCAACTCATCTTTCCAACGGCACACTTGGTTTACCAAGTTGATGCCTTGATCAATCTTTTTCTTCCGGAGCACGCATATGCATTGCATATCACATCCCGCATGTCATGCCATGTTTTGTATCTTGTTTCTTGCACATTGCACCGTGGTTGATTATTGTTTACTTAGCTTGTGTTCTTGTTTTGGGTAGAGCCGAAAGACGATTACGTGATCGAGGAACCCATTGAGTACGCTTACGAGGATCAAGTTTTTGTCAATTCGAGGAACTTTGCAGGCAAGATGACCATACCCTTGAAATCACTTCTATCTTTGCTTGCTAGTTGCTCGCTCTATTGCTATGCCGTGATACCCACCACTTGCTATATCATGCCTCCCATATTGTCATGTCAAGCTTCTAACCCACCTTTCCTAGCAAACCGTTGTTTGGCTATGTTACCGCTTTGCTTAGCCCCCTCTTATAGCGTTGCTAATTGCAGGTGAAGATGGAGTTTGTTCCTTGTTGGAACATGTTTATTGTTGGGATATCATTATTATATCTTGTTTACTTTAATGCATCTATATACTTGGTAAAGGGTGGAAGGCTCGACCTTATGCCTGGTGTTTTGTTTCACTCTTGCCGCCCTAGTTTCTGTCATACCGGTGTTATGTTTCTTGATTTTGCGTTCCTTACGCGGTTGGGTTATAATGGGAACCCCTTGACAGTTCGCCTTGAATAAAACTCCTCCAGCAAGGCCCAACCTTGGTTTTATCATTTGCC